TTTGCTTTCCCATTCTAGAATGTGAAACTTCTTTCCAAATATCTCATTCGGCAATACCACCTCGACGAGAACAACCTCAAGCTTCCGGAGGAAGCAGATTATCTGCACAATCTTAGCCATCACTCCTAGCAACACAGCGTGGCAGGACATCAACATATCACATGTGTTTGGATGCAATTTCTTTTGGTGGGAAGAAACATCCTCTTAGCTGAGAACCCTCTGAATGTCCTCCTCAGCCTCCAAAACCGCAGCTCCAGTTTACTGCCCTGGCCTCCTGACCCTCAGCAGTCTGTCCCAAGCTTCACTAGCTCCCCCCAGGGAAAGAAAAAGGAACACTCTCTCTGCCTCTTCCTTCACCCTCTCTCATCAAACTCCACCTTTCAGTCACGCTTGGACACTCCTGCTCCCCTCGAATGCTTTTCTTTCACTTCATTTCTCTTCTCTCATTACAGATTCATCTCTCTGCTCCTCTTTGCCTCCCACTGCCGGGTGACAAATCCCTTTCAAAATAACTCTGGTGACTCACCCGTTGGATACTGTATTCCGTTTATATGCACCTCCCCCCCGCAAGGGGCATGAAGATTTTCACAGATATTGTCTTATTTTTACCTCATTCTTGTAAAAAGGATTGTCTACCAGAAGGGAATGAAAATGTAGTTTGGGCTTTGGGATCATTGAGTATTAAGGTCGATAACCGGTTTTTCACTTTCCTAGGTTCATCTATCTTCCTCCTCATCCCTCTCTCCTTAGTGCTTGTTATTTTCTTCAGGGTTTATTAGCAAGCATGCTGGAAACTAGACGAAAACCTTACCACGCAGTTGTGTTGATTCCTAACCAGTCCCCCAAGCTGGAGCCCTCAGAGCCTCTCCTGTCCTCTGACCAGTTCACTCCCACGCCCAGCAGGTGACCAGCCATCCCGGCAGTGGGGCCCCATTCCTATGACCACAGCCTGACTCCGGCCAGCCTCTCCTCCAACCTGGACCAATGCAGTGGCCACCTGACAGCGCCAGCGCCCCCCACCCTTTTCTGCCCTTCTCCGGGTTGTTATTCTCCTCCTCACATCTGAGCATGGTGCTCCCTGGGCCCCTCTGTTTAAAATCCTACCTTTTGTCACAGCACTCAGGCCTTCTCAGTCTGGCCTCAAGCTACCTTCCCTCCCTGATCTCTGCGGTCTGCAACCCACCCATCCTGGAAACAAGCGCTTTCCCTACCCTTGCCTTGATTTCCCTGCCTCCGTGCTTTCATTCGTGTGAGGCCTTCCAGCAGGAGTGCCTGCCTTGGCCTCTCTTCCCGGAAAGCTCATCGTGGAAAGGTTTAGAGGTACACATTTTATATCACCTCTTCTGCAAAGATTTTCCTATTTCCAGGGTGGACTTAAGTAACCTCTCTTCTGCATTCCTATAGCTTTTTATGACTGCTAGAATAAAGAGTAAGATAGTATTTATCAACAAAAATGTAGTGGAAACCTATTATGTCCCAGGCACTAGGTATATGGACATCAAGGTCTCAGTCCTTACCCCAACTGCTAAGTAAGACAGAAAATACAGACAAACAAAATGGTATTGCAAGGTGACATGAGCAGTAGTGGAGGTGGTAAGCCCAAGGGATGAGCAGGTACATGGTCGGGGGGGAGGTGAGCTCACCTGGCATCATCAGAAAAGTCCCCCAGAGTGGGCAAGCCCTGAGCTGGCCCTTTTGAAACATCCAAGTGGGAAGGCTTTGATTGGTGATTGGGAAGGTGGTGGTCGTGGACTTCGTGACAGCAGACCAGATCCTGTGCCCATGTCCTCTGCACATACTCAACAAATATTCAGGGCATTGAATTAATTAGAAAAGCCTTGGTCTGTGGATCTCTGGAGCCCCACTGAGACCAAGTTTATTATTCCTCACCTTGCCTCCTTCTTCCTATGGGTGGTTGGCTCCAATTTTGTTCCCACAGATCTGACCTTACCTTAGGTTAATTACAAATGATGCAAATAATAAGGTGAGCCCCGTATGTGTTCCTATCCCAGTTCTGGCTCCCTGCAGCCAAGAACATTGCGGAAGGGGGTCGTTGGCCCATGGTGTTTGGCAGGTACTGCTGAGCCACACCACTGGAGTCAGGCAGGCATGGACAGCTGACGTGCTCCCGGGCTAAGCAGGAAAGGCTCATGAAGACAAGGAAAGACGGGTTACACCATGCCATGCCAAGTTCCAACATCACCAGGTCCAGAGCCACCTTCCAGTTGGCTTCTTGATTCCTGCCTTATTCTCTACACTTTGTCTTTTAACTGGCAGTCAGTATCATTTCCTATAACCTTTAAAACAAAGTACATACTCTTTGGTCTGGCAGGCAAGGCCCTTAGGAATATGTCTGTCCTCTGTCTCTCTAACCTCCTCTTTTGTGCCTACTTCCTTCGCTGTCTAACCTTCGCTCTGTTCCTCGGTTGTATTAAACCACTTTCAATTCCTTAGTGCATCAGGATTTCTCTCATCTGCAGGCCTCTCCGTGGGCTTGGAATGCCCTGGAACCTCTGGATATCTCTGGCTCATCCTGCAGGTCTCGGGTTAAAAGCTATTTTCAAGGGGAAGACTGTCCTGATTCTCCCTTCAAGCTAAGGTCTTGCCAGGGTTGCTCCTGTGTGTCCAGAGCCCACACCCTCTGCTTTCTCTATGCCCACACATGTCACACCATATTGAAATCATCTGCGTACTTGTGTGTTTCCCCAGCGTAAGCTCCCTGAAGGTGACACCTGAAGGTTTCACCACTGAATTCCAGCACCCAGCAAAGCACCTGCAATGCATTAGGCACACAGTAAGTCTGCACTGGTTGAGTGAGTAAATGAAAGGAAGCTTCTAGTTCCTGGGGAAAAGGAAAAAGGAGAGATTTTACCAGAACATAAGCTCTGAGAAAGCAGGGACAGTGTTCTGCTCCCTGTTTTATCTTCAGGTTCTGGCACATAGTAGGCCCTCAGTAAATAGTGATGGAGTGAATGAATGAAGTAGGTAGGTTAGGTAAGGACATTGTGTAGTCCTGAGTAGTCTCTTCATGTGTTCTTAAGATATGATTTGGTCTTGAGGGAATTGTCTTCTGAAGAGAGGAAGACAGCACGGCACAGTTGTCAAAGCTAGAACTTGGAACCATGCTTCCATGGGTTCAAATCTAAACTCTACCCCTCACTGACCAAGGGACCTTGAGAAAGTTAATTAACCTTCTTATAACTTGGTTGTTTTGTCTCTAATTGAGTTCTGTTATGTGATTAAATGAGTTAATATTTGTAAGGCAAGAAAATAGTTCTGGTTACACAATAAAAATTAATTATCATAAAAAATAAAAGTCTTACAAAATGAAAAGTCAAGCACTGCCCATATCCCTCCACACATCCTATTATTATTATGTAAATCCCTGGGGTCTGGGAGACATTTGGGAAACACAAATACATAGCTCAATCAGGAAACCAGTCCATTCATGCTTTGTGACTTTGTATTTTTCTACCCCTCATAAAGTAAGAGTCCTAGTCTCCATTAAGATCGTCTTTGAAAAATATTGTAAGCAGGTAGCAATGAGCCCACCTTTTACTAAGAGGCAACTTTTTTGATGGTTTCCCCTTTTATTCAGTAGTTGCCTGAGTAGAAGTCAGCGGATTTCAATAAGCTGCCTTCAGCTCTCCTCTGCACACTCTTGCTGTTGCTTAGTGTTCCCTCAGGACTAGACAACAGCTAGGACTTTTCACTTAAAACTGCCAAAACAAGGTCAGTTCTTCCTATCAAGAGTCGGATACGATAGGATGTATTTGTTATCAGCTACTTGGATAGTAGAACCAAAGGCATGAAACAAGTCAGCAATGTAATGAGTCCAGGGTGTTGAGTAGCCAAATGAACATTTAATTAAAAGTTTACTGCAAATCATGATCACATCAAGAAATGTTCCATGTGACAGTATTTAGGATACTGAAAGCTTATTGGAATCCTAGCACTCTGGGAGGCCGAGGCGGGCAGATTGCTCGAGGTCAGGAGTTCGAAACCAGCAAGAGCGAGACCCCGTCTCTACTATAAATAGAAATAAATTAATTGGCCATTCTAATATATATAGAAAAAAATCAGCCAGGCATGGTGGCGCATGCCTGTAGTCCCAGCTACTCGGGAGGCTGAGGCAGGAGGATTGCTTGAGTCCAGGAGATTGAGGTTGCTGTGAGCTAGGCTGACCTCACGGCACTCACTCTAGCCTGGGCAACAAAGTGAGACTCTGTCTCAAAAAAAAAAAAAAAAAAAAGCTTATTGGTTCATGCAATTAAGAAGGCTGAAGTAAAAAATAAATAAAAATATAAATTCAAAAAATATTTTAAAGCTTATTAGCAGTAAAGCATAACTTATATGATAACTAGAGTAATGACTATTATAGAAGTCACAATAAGGCAGTGAGATTATTGCCCAAGTCAAAAGGTACTGATTTCTACTTGAATAAGATTTCTTTACACCAAATATCTAACTTTTGCAAACCAGACAAATGAAAGAAATGACAAGCCTTGACTTTTTTCCTTTAATAGAAGATCAATTCTCCTATTAAGAGGAAGAAGAATTTTCTTGAGATCAAGTGCAGCCACGTTATGAGTAGTGGACCCTTGAATGGGAAATCAATGCCAGTGGAATCCTTTTCTCCCTCATTCTATACATACAACTCTAGCGTGACGACACGTTGAAACAGATCTTGAATTGTTGCCATTGCCACAGTTATAACCTGTGACTCATGTGTAGAGAACCACTATCATCTGGAACCCAAGAGTGACGAATACAGCTTCCATCTCTGATAAATAGTGGTCAAAATCTCCCCCGCCATGGATACCATCAAAGAGAGGTACAGTTAGGACAGAAGTAGAACATAAATAATATATTACCTTCCCCTATATATAATGAATAAACTATGGAACTATTCTTGATAATAAATATTTATTAATTAGAACGTCTCAATGAACATACAAGACATTAAAAAACAAAAAATACAAGAAAATAATTCAATTCATGCAGCACTGTCATAAAAGGTGAGTACAACCTAATTACTCCATGAACTTGTAAAGTGAAATGAGCTGGCCGTCGGGTGAGGGGACAAGGTACCGGAAGGCCACTACCCAGTGAGGGTCACATCTGTGTTTGTGGAGTGCTGGGTTCCCGTTGGCTTGGTCTGAAGCAGGTTACTTTTGGTTTGGGACTTGCTGTCCACACTCTTGACCGCTGCTTTCACCCACTTGGCCTGTGGATCAGCACAGACTTTCAGGCCACGTTTGGTAATAAAACTGTAATACGAGGAAAAGACAGACAAAATTAGCCACATTCTCAAAGCCTCGAGGCCAGGAGTTAAGTTCAGACTAGACAGGAAGAGATCTTACTGGAAGAAATAGTCTTTCAGAACTGTGAGATCACAAATGAACACCTTTCTTCTGCTGTCTAGTTTAACAAAAAGGAGAAACATCCACAGGTAACACCCAGGTCCTTTGTTCGCCATAATTCTCAGGCTCCTTTCCCCATCAGTGCTACCAAGTATTGCAAGTAAAGGACATTTGGGGCCATCTAGTTCAATTATTACATATCCTCCTCCTTTTCAAATGGAAACATACTCATCTTATTTTTTGGATAAAAGGTGATTTCTTTATTTTAATTTCTTAGGGTAAAGCTTGCAATTGTGTGTTAGAAAGAGCTTCTACTTCTAAAAATGAGCCCCCAGAAAAAGAATGGTACCCTGTAGGCTGCCCATTGACACATTTCCTTGAGCTACGGCAACTGCTAAAGCATGGCCCTCTGCCCAGCTCCTAAGCCAAGTGTCCCACACTAGCCACCATGCGGGCTAGTCCTGGCCAACCCGGCCCTCGGAACTGGGCATGGCATGCATCTGGTTTCCAGTCAGACTCTTCTACTAAGAAAGGAGGACTCATTTATTTGGCAGCCACGTTTTTGCAGTAATCGTTATTTGGTTGGGCTGCCTGAAGGAAGACGTGATGAATATGGAAAAATAAAGGGGCTGTTGGTTAAGGCTCTCCTTCATGTTGACGCGTCCCTCCTGAGGAGGGCAGCATTTCTGTGTCCTCTGTTTCTGTGCATCCACCCAGCCCCACCGTAGGGGGGACAAACTCACATCACGGCTTTCATGGAGCCCTCCTTGATGGTGTAGGTCTTGATCCTGTTCACAGGCAGTCGTTGGGTGGTTAGACTCACACAGATACTCTTATCCGGGACTTCACTGCCCACACCTGGTGAGGGAGAAAACAAAAGGTGTTCACTGACCCTGCTTTTCTTCATCGTTCCCTTTCCCTTCCATCCCTCCCAATGCCAGTCTGCACATTCTTTGCCCTCTGCCTTTGCCAATTTATCTTTTAATGCCGCCCTGTTTCCCAACCCAGTGGGAGAGGAAAATCCGTGGATTTTTTTTCTGTTTCTCTTACTCCTTAAGAAACCATATTTCTTCCTGTGAAGAATTTAACATGGACGACTCCCAAGCCCCAGAGAATCCTGCTGTGTACCCTAGACCACAAAACCTTTTCCTTACTCCCAGCAATGCCGTGTGTCGGTGGCATGTATTAAACATCGCCTTCACTCAGGCTGCGGAGTTGGGTCCAAGCGGAGATTGTTTTGCCCCATTTCGCACACAAGGAGCTAAGTCCCATCTCCCTCCCCTGGAGCCCCGCTGAACAGGACACCGATCATCTCAGTAACATGCCAGCCCCCGACAGCATGCGGCCTCACTTTACAGCCTTAAACATTTTTGTTTCGATAAAACATTTTGCATTTTGCCCACAATTTCAAGGAGTTCCAGTCTTTGCCACCTTTATTCATAGACTCCCGCCCTCAGGGATTCATGATCAGATTATGATATTGTAGTGTAAGTAATAAGTCTACAAATCAATTCCAGCCAGTAGGGAAAGGTGATCTTTTAAGAAATAATCTGCTGGACCCTCAGGTAAGGCTCAGTATATCTAAAGCTCACCTGGGTATATCTTGTAGGTTTATTTGATTGTGTATAAGCTGTTAGCACTTATTATCATATAGTCTCTTACAAATTCAAAAAATTTTTCATAAATGGTAACATTCATCATAGTAATAATAGATTCACAATAATAAGAGAGAACATGCATCCTCCAGGGCCTCCCCACATTGTGACTGAACTCTCAAAGATTTTGAGAATTTATCAAGACCTATATGAAATAGGCAAAATCTACAAATGCATTTATAGTCATCACCACCATAGCTAATATTTATCAAAAAATTACCATTTGTAAGGAAATCTGATGTAATTAAATAAGTAAAAATAAGTAAGTAAACTATAAATAAACAAATCATAAGATTTATTTAACAGAGCGTGTCTGTTGTATTCAATTTGTAGATAAACATAGTCCCTGAATCGCTTAAGAAATTTACCCAAAATCATCCAGTTAGGAAGGGTAGGAGCCCAGCTACTAACCAAGTTTTCTCTGTCTTGGAAATCTACAAAGTTCTCTAGAGTTGAAATTATCATTCCATTTTTGCACATGGGAGGTTTGAGGCTTACCTTGAAAAAGCAGTTTACTCCAGTCGAAACCTGAGTCAAACCCAAAAGGTGTGCCCACCCGCCTCTCATCCCTGTCCCTTGTCTCACAGACAGCTTCCCACTTACCTTCTACAACATGCACGGTGAGACAGCAGACGGCAAGGCAGGCCAGGATGAGCAGTCTCATGGCTGAGGTCCTGGTGAGCTGGACAAGGAGAGAGTGAGGTCCTGGCTCCCCGTGAGCCTCTTTTATGCTCCGATAGCCAGCGTGCTTCCTGTGGTGAGAGGGGGCTTTCGGGGTGGGTGTGGGATCACGGAAAGTCTTTGCAATACCAATGCTTCTTTTGCTTTAAAAAAAAAAAGTTCCCTTGCCTCGTTCATACTAACCTTACACGCTGTGGCCTTTTCCCCTCTCCTGTGGTTAACATGTCAATGAAACCAAGTGTATGAACAAAAGAAAACGTGGTTGTCTCCTCTGCCACCAGTCTAAACTCAGATCTTCCACTGCAGACTGCCCCAAGCCTGTTCAATGTCATGGCCCAGCACAGGGACAGTGTGAAGGAAATGAGGTGGGGCGGTCGCCACAGCCCATTGCAGTCATCTCGTATGACACCCACCATGACATGGAGCTTCCACAACCAGGGATAGCCATGATCACCTGAGGCCACCCTCCGACTCCCTAGGGAGGGGAAGAAGAGATGCCACTGTCACCCTGCGATTCTCATTCCTTTGCTTTCTTTTTTTCTCATTTCTCTCCTCTACCCTCATTCATACTCTACACCCCATTGCTTTACACCCCAGGTACCCAAGAAACATTTAGATAACTGTCTTGAGCATGTCTATGTTTATTTTATTGTGACTTAATAGATACATTGTTAAAGGCTTTGGAGCTGTCCTATACCAAGTTCATTTTGGAAAATAGAGATAAAATTAACTAATAATCTTGCCATTCTGACAGATTTCATTTTTAATGTTTTTCCAGTGAGTCTTTATTTGTATACATATGCTCAAATAATTTGGGTCATTATAAATACCATTTTAAGATTGATTTAAATATCTCCCCATATTTCTTTAGTCTTCATGTTTGTACTTCAAGTAAATATGTATACATACACATTAAACCACAACCTTATGACTTATTACTGTATGGATCATATCTGTAAGATCAATTTCATTAATATACACTGAATTATTTCCCTTTAATAACCAGGAGTAGGATTACCAGGTAAAATTATGTGATCATCTTTATAGTTCTTATTATTTATTGCCATATAGTCCTCTCAAAATGTAGTTCTAATTTGCAATGCCTCCAGCAGGGTTTGAGTCTGTTGGTGCTATAACCTTTCTGGCAATCAGTTTGTTGTTGTGTTTGTTTATTTTACATAGGTATCTATAAAACATATTTATTAAATATATACATAGTTAAAGATTTTGCTATTGCTCTTAGAAAAATGAAAACAAATTAATACATTTTCATAAAAATTATAGGTTAACCTCTAAGAGATTTTTCACTAATGGCATTTGATTTTCCAGCCAGACATCACTGTAAACTTCAGAATGGCTCTTTAATTATCTCTACCTCACTATACCATCAGTCCTTAAACTCTGGATGCATCTTCTGTTCAAACTGTTTCTCCCCCTATTACTCCTTGACATGGAGTGATGTGTCTTCTTCCACCCAATTTCCAAACACAGATGTGTGGGGGTCATCTCAGACTCTTTGCCATCTACCTGTATGTCACTGTCAACCAAGCTGGATGAAGTATTCCTTTTAAGTAGCTCCTCAAGATGCCTCCTCCTTTCTTTTCACACTGCTCATGGTAAGCCATCATCATCCCTTGTTAGGACCATTGTAGTAGACCAACTGGTTTCCCAGTCCCTGGTTTCCTGCCTTCCAGTCTATTCTCCACAGTATTTCCATCATAATCATTCTAAAGCCTTAATCTAATGATGCCATTTCCCTATTGAGAAACCCTTTGCTAATTCACATTGCCTACGGGATGCATTTCAAATCTCTCATTGCCTTGTATAAGGATGTTCAAGATCTAGCACTGCTTTTCCTATCAGATGCACCTTCCACCTTCAAACACATGCTCCCAAACCTCTGGCCTTAATAAACATGTGTGCAGTCAACCCAATGTCCATCCTCTTTTATGCCCCCAACATGTTGCTTTCTTTACCTGGAATGCCCCTTGCAGCTCCCTACTTATAAACTCCTCCTCTCTATCTAAGTTTTCCTGAATTCTCTAGATAAAATTAAGTTGTATCACCCTTTGTTCTCCCTTAGAGCTTTGTTCTTACCACTGTTAATCTCACTGTATTCTCCTAACCGATTACATTTCTACATCTCCCACTAGATGGCAGGCTCCTTGGGAATAGGGAATTGCCTTTGTCATCTTTGGGTCCCTGACACTAGCAGAAAGCCTGACACTCAACAAATAGCTTTTGAATAAATGATTTATTTTTAAAAGGCCAAAATTAGGGTTGTTGGGCATTAAGTGAAGGTGGGCCATCTAAAAACATAAAGCCATGCTCCATGACATTGATGTGGGCAATGATCTTTTGGGTATGACACCAAAAGCATTGGCAACAAAACCAAAAATAGACAAATAGGATTACAGCAAACTGAAACTGCTTCTACACAACAAAGGAAACAATCAACGGAGTGAACAGATAACCTGTGGAATGGGAGAAAATATTTGTAAACTATACATCCAAAATATATTTTAGATATATATATATCCAAAATATATAAGGAACTCAATATAAAAAAACCTAAATAACACAATTAAAAGATTGGCAAAAGACCTGAATAGACCTTTCTCAAAAGAAGACATACAAATGGCCAGAGATATATGAAAAAATGCTCAACATCACTAATCATCAGGGAAATGTAAATAAAAACCACAATAGGATATCACCTCATACCTGTGACAACGGCTATTATCAAAAAGACAAAGGATAACAAGTGTTGATGAGGATGTGGAGAAAGGTAACTCACACGGTTATTGGAAATGTAAATTAGTACAGGCATTATGGAAAACAGTACGGAATTTCCTAAACATTTGTACCCCCGTAATATGCTGAAATAAAAAAAATAAAACAAGACACAATGAAAATAAATGAGAGCATCTGGATCTGTTAATCTTTTTTGATCTGTGCAATAAAACCTTCATGTTTTCCTGTCATGGAAAAAAATTTTTTTAATTAGACCTACCATATGATCCAGCAATCCTATTACTGGGTATATGGAAATGAAATCAATGTGTCAAAGAGATGTCTGCACGCCCATGTTTATTGCAATATTATTCACAATAGCCAAGATATAGAATTAATCTAAGTGTCCATTAACAGATGAATGGATAAAGAAGATTCGATATGTATACACAATGAAATACTATTCAGCCAAAGAAGGAGGAGAAATCCTATCATTTGCAAGAACATAGACATTGTTACAACCCTGGAAGGTATTGTGTTAAAGTGAAATAAGCCAGGTACAGAAATACAAATATCACATGATCTCACTCATCTGTGGATTCTAAATAGATGGTCTCACAGAAATAGAGTAGAATGGTGGTTACCAGGGCTGGGGAGGTTGGCAGGAGGTTGAGTTTGGCCAGATATTGGTCATAGAATACAAAATTTCAGTTAGACAGGAGGAATAATTTCAAGAGATCTATTGTACAACATGGTGGCTATAGTTAACAAGAACTGTAATCTTGAAAAATGGTAAGAGAGTGGATGTAAATAGTTCTTACCACAAAAATAATTATGTAAAGTAATGCATATGTTAATTAGCTAGATTTAATCATCCCACAATGTATATATACTTTGAAACAGCATGCTGTACGTACAATTTTATCTGTCAATTAAAAATAAGTAAATAATTTTTAAAATTAAAAATTAAAACATAATTTCAGGAAATTGTTCCTGTAGCTTTCTCATGTTTTCAATCAAATACACAATTGGATTGATGGCTGAATTTTTGCTTAGCATATTGCTATGGAATTCCTTAAACTCTCAGAATGAGTTGTTCGCTTTTGGTTCGTCGAAGCATACACTAAGATCTCAGCTACAGAAGACTTAAGTAACAAGCAAGAAAGTAGAAACCTAGTGCAAAGTGGGCATAGTCTGCTAAATGAGTGGACGCTGTTTGACAGCCACCAGTTGAGGGGTATTAGTCATAATGAATTCCTTTCATCCTTGACTCCTCTCTTTTCTTAGGTGCTACACACAATCCGTCAGCAAGTACTATTGGCTCCCTGTCTTCAAAATAGAACCAAAACACTTCTCACCACCCAAACCACCCTACTCCAAGCCACTACCAGCTCCCACCCAGATTAGTGGATTTATGCAATGCCCTTAATTGGTCTTCCTGACACTACCCTTCTCCTGTTGCTTAGTTTACCACACCTGCCAAGGTGATCATTTCAAAATGCAAATCACAGCATGTCATTTCTCTCCTCAACATCCTTCAATGGCTCCCCATTTTTATGAGTTAAATCCCATGTCTTTACAAGGGTTTACAAGTGCCTCTGTGACCCATGCTGTCCTCTCCTGTTCAGTCTCTGATATCTTCTCCTGCTACTCTCTTCCCTCCTACCCTACTGCAGCCATGTGGCCTCTGTTCTTCTCAGCCATGTATGTCAGTCATGCCTCCGAGCCTTTGCATATACCATTCCCTCCATCTGACACTCTCTTTCCTCAGACATAAGCATGACTCACTCTTTCACCTCCTTCAATTCTCTGCTCAAATGCTGCTTCCTCCTTGTGGCTTTCTCTGACCACCCCATTTAAAACTGCACACACAAGCCCAACCTGGTATCATTTGATGTATCTTTGCTGTTCTATTTTCACTCAAAGCACTTAGCACCTTCTAATACAACTTACTTGTTTTGATATGCTTATTGTCTGTCTCCTTCCAGGAATTCTTTGTCTTTTTCATTCTTTTTCATTGCTCTTTCCTCAGAGTCTAGTACAATGCCTAGCACAAAGGAGCTACACAATTCATATATCCAGAATACATTTACGTGTGTATGAGTGTGTAAGTGCATGGGTGTACAAGTATGCCTATGCACATGCAAACATCAACATTTATCCCTGCAGAGCCTACTACTCTGGAACATCAGCACTGCTTAGGAATGTGTAACCACAGAGTGGAATGGTAAAATCCATTTTTAAAGGAAAGCATTCATTATTGAAGGAAGAAGACAGAAGGGTACAACTAAAGAAAACCCAACATGTTTTTTTCTTTTTGTTTTGCTTTCTGGTCTGAATATTTTGATTCATCTGAAAAAAATACTTGTATTTCATCATATATAATAAATATACTCCATATAAGGATTTCTTCTTTTGTAGAACATGTGTTTATGCAATTTTCTGATTTTCCTATTAGGTAATTTGTCTTTTTCTTGTTGGTACGTAATTCTTTATGCATTCATCTTACTAATTCTTTGTTGTGGTTGTTGCAAATATTTTCTATCAATTTGTAGTGTATCTTTCCATGACCTTTATGAAGTCTTTGATGAACCAAAAAAAACCCATAATTTTAATGTAGTTAAATGTATCAGTATTTTATTTTATAGTGAATGCTTCTTGTGCCTTAATAAATTCTTCCTTTCCCTAAAGTCAGAAAGATATTTACCCCTATTTTCTACTAAAAGTTTTAAAGAATTGCAT